CAGGCCTCCAACTGGACTCTGTCCCATTGATCACAACTCTCTGACTTCTTTCCTTCAACCAGTTCACAATCCATCTACTACCCGATCACCCAGACCACACTTTCTCAGTTTAGCTGTGAGCATGCTATGGGAGACAGTGTCAAATGCTTTACTGAAATCAAGATAGACCACATCCACTACCCTACCATAATTTATCCACCTGATTATATCCTCATAAAAGGCTACCAGATTGGTCAACCATGACTTCCCCTTGGTGAAACCATGCTGACTGCTCCTAATGACCCTCTTATCCTTAATATGTCTGGAGACAGCACTGGGGATAAGCTGTTCCATCACCTATCCAGGGATGGAGGTGAGGCTGACCGGTCTGTAGTTACCCGGGTCCTCCTTCTTGCCCTTTTTGAAGACTGGAGTGACATTTGCTTTCTTCCAGTCCTCAGGCACCTCTCCCGTTTGCCAAGACTTGGCAAAGATGATGGAGAGTGGTCTGGCAATTACTCCCATCAGCTCCCTCAGCACCTGTGGGTGCATCCCATCAGGGCCCATGGATTTTTTGTATGTCCAGATTGCTTATACTGATCCCTAACCCAGTCTTCATCCACCAAGTCAAACTCCTCCTTTATCCTGACTTCCTCTGGGGCCTCAGGGCTCTGGGGCTCCGGAGGATAGTCTCCAGCAGTGCAGACAGAAGCAAAGAAGGCATTCAGTAACTCCGCCTTCTTAGTATCCTCTGTCACCAGAGTACCCACCTCATTCAGCAGTGGGCCTACATTGCCTCTAGCATTAGTTTTCTGAAATGTATTTGAACAAGCCCTTTCTGTTGTCCTTCACCTCTCTTGCAAGGTTTAATTCCAAGGGGGTCTTAGCTTTCCTAGTTGCCTCCCTACATCCTTTGACAACAGTCCTGTATCCCTCCCAAGTGGCCGTCCCCTCCTTCCATGATCTACAGACTCTCTTCTTCCACTTGAGTTTGCACAGCAGTTCCCTGTTTAACCAATTGGGTCTCCTGGCTCCCTTGCTTGATTTCCTACCTGTTGGGATGCTCTGATCTTGAGCTTGGAAGAAGTGGTCCTTGAATATAAACCAACTATCTTGGGCCCCTTTACCTTCTAGTAACCTGACGTAGAGACAAAAACGCCATGGGAATAGAGGTGAAATATAATTTCTTTGTGAAGTCTATGCAAAACTCTAAACAGTCTGAAAATCTCAAAGGGTTATTTCTCTGATTTGATTTTTTTTTACCTGTTTGTTTTTTTTCTTTATACTTTTAAAGTTGAAATATACCTTCAAAACTATCAATGATGAATATCATTTATCTGATGTACTTTCTGTCTTTTATCATTAACTGATTTTGACTAGGGTTTTTTTTGGAGGAAAAAGAGGATTCAAGTAATGGCAATTTATTCCCTCTACAGGATTTATGAACGCATTATTGATCCCCCAGAAATGAATTTGACACCTGAAAGCAATTTATGGCTTGGACAGAGAAACAGGAAACATGGTTTCTTTAAGGTAAGCAGATATGAAATGGTACATGAAGAAGGTAATTAATAGTCAACAAGGTATTTCTGATTGTCTGACACTGCTGAAACCTGATTTGTCTGAATTTTAGTAGAAGCTGTGGACTTGGGGTTTGAGATAGGACCAACACTTAGAGAAAAGTGTCTCTTCCTGCAAGGTAGAGTGTTGTAGTCACTGATGGCAGTGCCCAGTATTTGAGGGTTTTATTTGATTTTCTTACTTTAGGTTTCACCTACCTGCTGTGGTCTGCCGTGGCACTCCTGGGGACAGAACAAGAGTGTGTAGGCAGCATTGGGAGTCTATTCTTGGCTTTCATCTTTAAACATTCCTGAAACAAACAGCTTTGCTCAGGTGTCCTGGCTAGGCAACGATGCTTTTAATGACTCTTGGAGGCTGTTTCCTCAATTTAATATGCAGAATACTCTCATCCTTCTGCTGTTTGCCTCAAATGACTCTTCCTTGTTTGCCCCTGTCAGCACTGACTTCTAGAGCAGAAAAGGTGGTCTGGCCTGAGATCCTTCTGACTTTGGCAAATGATTGCTACTGTGTCTAGTGCATATGTCTGGCTGCAAAAAAATTTATTTTTCTGTTCCTGGAGTACCTTCCTGTCTTTCTGTTTTTCTCAACGAAGTATGTCACCATGTTTCTCAATGAAGAGTGAATAGTGGGTCACTGGGTTTTGTTCATGAGCTTCTTTGTCCTTCGGAGCTTCCATTGCTTCCAAACAGCCCAGGCTGAATGGCTGGCTAGCTGGCGGGACTTGGGCTGCTCCTACCTTCTAGCTGGAAAGCCTGTTGTTTTCCATTGATGAGTCTCCTCAAGATGTCATCATTGAGTAGGCCAGTATGGGCACGAGGAACTTTGGAGAAGAAAAAGAGGATTCAAGTAATGGCAATATATTTCAGATTCAATTAATGACAATTATAGAATCATATAATGGTTTGGGTTGGAAGGGACCTTAAGGATTATCTAGTCCAACCCCCCTGCCATGGGCAGGGACACCTTGCACTTGACAACATATTTCCAAAGTTGTAAAGGACAGAGAAATGACCTACAACTTCTAAAGCCCTCTCCTGTATGTTTTCTTTCAGCTTTTATTTGCCCCTGGTGAGACTATACGATTTTCTGGTTGAGATTGAATTGCTGAACCAAGCAACAAACAAAATCCACCAACAAATGAAAAACAACCCCTCCAACTTAAAATTAATTATTTTGCTTTGTAAGCAAGCCACAGAAAAGTTTCTGATATTTTTTCAAGTTTTGGATAACAAGCCACGGTGCAAGTGTTTATCAGTGAAAGAGTCCATCCTCAGTGATAGGCCAATCTGCCTATGCTGGATGTTGACATGGATTTGTTGCCAAGGTGATTTACCACTCACTCGGTTCCCCTTTGAAGCTGTCAGTTCATGAGACAATTTTACAAGTTGCTGTTTTTCAGAGCATCTCTCCTCCAAGTCCCCAGATTTCAGCAAGCTAGGACAATTATTTTATGCTAAAATTATTTAAGCATAGCAACTAACAATTTTATTTGTGAAACAGAGATAAAGCTAACTTTTAATTTAAGTGACGGTCCGAGATTTGTTCTGAACCTAGAGTACATTTCTTTCTCCAGCAGTTGAGCTGTCACTGTGAAGTGAAATTGATAGTATTATTTTATTCTACAGCTGTTGTTTTTTTTACCTCAGCTGCTTCCCATAATTCCACAGATGGTAAACATATGTTTATAGCTACATAAGAAAAAAAAGAAGTTATATTGGATTCACCCATCTTAAATTCTTATTTTATGCAGGCAGTCAGAGCCTCAGAACTCTGGGATATTATGTTTGTAAATTAATATTTCTATGCGTTAACACTTTGGAAACAGCAGGGTAGCTAATGATATGCTAATGAGCTGACAGTTTTTATTGATCGTAATGAAAGCCGACAAGTGCCTTACTTTGCTTTATGCGTGCTTGAATATTTTACTAACTTTCTTCAGGGCAGAAATATAATTGGTTGTATTTTTTAAATCCTGCTTGAGAGTTTCAGAAATCTTACTTTTTTAATGTTACTCATTGCAAAAACTTGGGATTTTGCCAGTTTGTAAAGAGTACACATCTCTCTTCATATATTTACATGCTCAGCAGGACCTCCCTTTCTTTTTTGGAGCAATTTGTTTCACTGTTTTAGCATATAAAAAAATAGATCTATTTTCCTTAATGTAAACAGAGATCTGCAGGGAAATAAGAATGTTAAAAGAGAATTAGCATTTTTGTATGTGCATTGGAGCCATGATAATGCATGTAACAAAAAGCACTGGATACTGTTCTGAGTATTATCTTTGCCATTCCAAAAATTTTCTTACTTTGATGATAGTTAATTGTTGTGTGTCTCCGCAAATGAAGAGCACTAAAGCACATTTTGTGCCATATTCTCATGCTTATTTTGGATCATAATTCCTCACTATATCAGAAGAGGATGGAGAGGAGATTATATTCATAAGTAACTGTGGTCAGTTGTTGTCATTTTTCTTATTTATGCCTTTGTTCCACTTTCTTATTTACACTGATTATTCTGCAAGTAGCCCTGCTGTGTCTGTGGCCTGACTGAGGAATGAAGTGCTCTGTGGCATAATCAAGGGAGTTGAAGTCTTGCCCCTTACAGCCAGAATCTCTTACTAGTTGTGACTTACCTGCTATGATCAGGCATTTGGAGTTCAGACAAGATGAAATGGGTTTAGCACAGCAGTGGTGGGAGCAAATGCAGAACACATTTAAGATAGCTTTGTCTGTTTACTTTGAAGGGAATAACAGGAATTCCTTCGAAAAATGAATGTTGACCCTTCAGGTTTCTTTGTGTTGCCCAAAAGCAAGATTTGTTTTAAGACAAAAAAATACTGTTTATAATCAGATTAGAAAACCAAAGAATATGCAACTAAAAGGAGGAAGAGAGTGAGACCAGACATCCAGGAAAACCTCACTCTAGGATGGATCTGATTGCTGTCAGCATCAGAATTCTCTGCAAAATTCATGGTATCACTGGGGAGAACCCTTCCCCCTAAGGCTCCCTCCAAAGAGCTGCTGCAGAAATGAGCTTATTAATGCATTGCTGACTAGGTGATTCGTGTCAAAAGACGTTAATTTTCATATCTGCTACAGCAGGCTCTATTGATCCTGCTGCTGTGTCTGGGAATTGTGTAGTAGGTGCTTGAGAAATGTGTTAGTATTTTTACTGCACAGCAATCATATGTGTACTAGGCCTCTGTAGTTGTGCTGGTCTTGGGGTTGTACAGACTAAGGTGAGGTATATGCAGTACCAAGGACAACTGCCTGCCATGGGTGTGCCTGCCCTGTGTAGGGGAGTGCAGCGCTGATCTAGTGGAGATCCAGTGGTGTTGGCGTAGCATTGCCTGGGCACAGGGTGTTGGGCACAGCTGCTGGTGCCTCTGTGCAGAGCCTTTCACCAGCCTTGGCCGATGCAGCTTGCACAGCTGTGTGGCACATGTTGTCTCTGTGGGAGAAGTAGGTTTTAAAGAGGGTGAAAGGCAGTGGAGGAAATGGAAACGCAGAAGTGGAGAGCTCATGGAATTTATGAACCTTTTCATAGTATGTGGGAGGAGTTCTCTATTTAATAGAGACATGAGAAGTGCTATAAACAGGGCTTTTGTATTACATCCTCATGGGATGGGCTTGATGTTTAGTGCTGCAGGCCTGAATTTTATCTTGTAGCTGGTAATCTGCCTGCACAGATGAAGGCTCTTCAGGATAGTGAGTCCTGATGCTGACCTGAAGCCGCTGTTGTAGTAAGCCAAATGCTTTAATGATAACACAAAGGTGTTGTCTGCTCAGGAAAGGAAAAACCAGGAAGATTTTGACTGCTGACATCTCCCTGTCAAAGCCAAATCCTGATGTCCTTTCACAGAGTATGGACTGAAAAACACCCTGTGCCAAAGTGAACCAGAGCCCTGGGCTTCCCCTTGGGAGCTGTGCATGCCTAATTCTCCTTCTGGCTGTGGTCACAGAAAGCTCTTGGCAACCTAGACTTAATGCTGGAGGAGGAATAGTCCAAGTTTGTTCATATGTGTTGCAGTAATTATGGCTGCAATAAGTGTTTGCCTATAATGAAGTCTTTCTATTAAAAAAATACATCAGCGAAATATCTGCTCTTTGAAGGTTCACTTCCATATTTGATTGTATTAATTCTGTTTCAGAGGGTTTATAGACTTAGAAGGCATCTATGTTGGTGAATTGAAGATCATACATTTTTTCCATGGTAACATGCTTTCCTGTAGCCAGAAATTAAGACACATTATAGCTGTGTTTCCTCTTCAGATTGTATTTAAATGCAAATCTATCAAAAAGGCAATTGAGCACTGGGGCTCTGATGCAACAGACATATTTGACGTTCATTATGCACTTAAAAAAAAAAGGCTGAGGAAAAAACATCACTTCTGTCTGGATCATATCTTGTTAGCTGTGCAATATGGTCTGGTGAAAATTTGTGACCTCATTTACTCTTGGTTTAGCTTTTCACTGGAGAGGCTTAAGGATTGAAATATATTTTTGTGCCTCACCTTTGATTTCTCACTGATGATTGCTAACAGAAAGTATATAAAATGGCTTTCAGTATATTCCATTTCCAGTGACAGTATTACTTCCCATTAATATGATGGTTCAGTTATTCTCATAGATGAAAAGGTTAATAAATGTATATACTTCTGCAAGAACGACTGTGATCTGATTATGTCTATTAATATTTTCAGTTAATATTTGATAATGAAACAGTAAGTGGGAAGTGGTGCTTGCTGATTGCCTTCTGCTGTTTTAGCAAATGAACGTGTACTGTGAAATGTTACTGTATTCACCAGGCTTCAAGGGCTATCTGAGGCCTATATTTTATTTATTGATGGAGTTTGACATTTTGAGCAAGTGACCATGTCCTCAGGTTGCAAAATTCACTCCATTACAATTTAACTGAAAATTAAAACATAGTTTTATAAATCAGTAATTAATTTAGATAATAACTGCTGTGATGATAAATTTCCTTTCAAATTAAAGAAATTCTTCTGTGTCTGGGAGGAGATAGAGCCATGTTACTGCAGTCAGGGGAAGTGCAACACTAGCAGTCCCTTGTTTTTCCTGGCTCTGCCCCCTTAGTGACCATGATGTTATTAAAGCTAGTGGTTCAGGTGGAGTAAGTAGGTTATACACTTGAAGATGGAGCAGGAGCTTTGTACTGAGCTTAAAAGAGCAATAACAAGATTCAGCACTTCTAGGCTATCTGAAGGACTTAGGCTTCTTCAGGACCCAGGTATGCAGAGATATTGGGCAACTCTTTGTGTTTTCTGCTTCCATCAGGGACATTCTTGTGAGTCAGGGACAACAGGGGATGCAGCCAGTGCTGGACCTTTTTGGTCCTTCTTCTCTCTTGTCCTGCCTGGTTCTGTTTCTGGGTCTCACACAACCTGCGCTAGCTGGCTCTGACCTTGGAGTCCTGATTTCTGCCAGTACTGCATAGGGGATCTTTCCATGTGGTTAGAAAGAGGATTTAATTCTAACTGATGGCATGATTACATTAACTGCTTGTTGACATACTAAGCTTGCAGGCTACACTAAACCAGGTAGCTGAAGTGTAGACTTTTGCTTACCTCTTGAACTATATACTTCTCTTTTCATAAAGTTTGATTTCACAGTCTTGGCTAAATCACTAAAGAGTACTGCTGTGTTTTCTTTTTGTCTTTGGCAAAGCGTGTCATAGGCTTGATAATGGATATTATTTCACTGCTTTTTCACTGGTCTCATTCCATTTTTAGACGTTTAAGCGGCTTATGTTTGGTGATTGCAAAAGACAAAGCAGTATTATTTCTGCGTTTTATGAAAATTAATATCCAAACACACAGGAAGATAGAAGGAGTGGTTATATTTTGTCCATCTTCAGTTGGACAAAATGTTCACCTCACAAGCAGAGTGAGATGGTCGATTTTTTTGTATCCACTTAAATGAGTTGTGAAACAGATCTAACCAAATGCTTTTAATCTGTATTAGCAGTTTTCTCTTCTTTTACAAAGGGTGTTATTCAAGATGTGAAAGTCATCTTTATACCTAATGGATATATAACACAGTGTCCTAATCTGAATCGCAGTAAGTAGCAATTTCTTTATTCCATTTTAGATTTTTCATACAAATTATTTCCTTTTTTTAAAGGGAATATTTTTGGGCTCATCATTTTTGCATGTGCTGACTTCCATAAGGCAAAAATTCTGTGTAAACAGATTGCATTTTATGTTCTGATAATCAGCAGTATCAGACTTGATTTATTTATGGGTTATTGTCTTTTCTTCTCTTCCTTTCCTTTTCTTTTTACACTTCCTTTATTGAGCATGCCCGACCTGCAGTGATTTTCTAAGCCTAGTGCAAGGAATCATGGATTTGCAAGAACTCCTGGCAAAAATGACTGCAAAAGTAGGTACCTAAGCATTTCTTCCTGTGCTAAGACTAACGTGAAAGTATTTATTACTTCTGCAATAATTCTGTGTTTTCATAGAAGAGCCATTTTTTTTCTCCTTCTACTAGTAGCCCTGTCTGCAGTGGACTTATGGATATAGCTTCATGGATGTCACTTAAGCCTTATGCAGCTTCTGTTGTCTGCCTTAGTATTTGTAAGGTAGTGACAAAATGCTCAAGGTCTGATATTTTGTGAGAAGTCTTAGCATGATTTCTCTTTTCATGCTGTGGGATAAATGCAGAAACAAAGGAGTGAAATCCCTCAGCAATTTCCTCACCATGTGATGCTGTCAGAGGATGCTTGTTTGCCTGTGGGAAGTCCTGTGAAGTCTTCAGGACTGGCATAGTCTTCTTCCTGGGAATTGAAATGAGGCCCCAGAATGGAAATGCCTGTGAAGCTGCTGGCTTAGCTGATCTCGACATCACCTTTGATCAGTGGCTTTTACCAGTATGAAAGTTCACCCAGCTCCAGCTGGTGTGGTGTGGATGGTGTTTTTTGTTGTATTTTTTTTCCCCCCCTGGTTTGGATTGTGAGTGGGATGCATGGAAAACCATAGTGTTTTTCTCTTTGGGATTTTGAAGATTTTCTTTAGACTTTGTTCTCTCACTACACAGTCAACTGCTGTGTTAGCCAAGGCCCTTCAGCTAAGGTTCTGGTGAAGTTTTGGGGTAGGAAGCTGTGTTTTAGAGGTGACTGAACCCCTGTTGTGTGTTGAAGGACAATCTGTGAGCAGTTTTTGGGGTTAATGTTGGTGAACCATCTGGTTTGTGGGAAAAGGCAATTAATTGTCTCATCTGAAACAGCACTTACGCACTAATTACTTAGGTTTAAGTGATGCCACAACCAACCTATAGATGCCTTTAATCTCAGTGTAGTTACTGAACAGGAGTTTCAAAAATAGGATTTGCATAGTAGTGCTACTAGCGTAGCGTAATATAAAAGCATTGTACTTGTTACTGTGCTACCTTTAAGTGTCTTTTTCCTTCCTAATAGGAAAGGGGAAATTTTGTTTTTAGAAAGTGTGCACCTTATACTGACAGTCCACTTACTCAGCTGACATGCTTTGAACAGGCTGACTCTGAATGCGAAATGTGAAGCTTTTAGTTCAGTTTGCTGCTTGTACTGTGAAAGAGAGGCAATTATTTTGAGCCCTGCTGGTGGTATGAGCAAGTTCCAATTATGCACTGTACTGAGTAACTTGCTTTCTCTGCTGTTAATTATATTTTTGCTGGCTAGTACTTTACAAGGGGAAGCAAATAACACACTATTTGTACTGTAAAGACTCTCTGCTTCCATAAAGTGGTGCTGGGATAATCCTTCATTGCAAGTTCCTTTTCTCTTATAGCAGTACACTGACTGTTTTGGTGCAGTTATTACAGAAATACTGTTATCCAGGAAAAATGCGTGCAGCAGGAAAGGAAGTTAATTTGTTAGACAAATGCAAGTTAAAAATGGAAAGACTTGAGGGAAGCATTGAGGTTTCTATCTGCCTTTTCAGTCCTAGTCACAATAGCCACAAGTGGTACTAAAGTAGGTACAAGTGTATCGTGTGTGGATGATGTATGACAAGGCAAAGAGCAAGGCTTAGAAGGGCTGTGCAGCTGCCTGCAGAGATCCTGTTTAGCAGGGCATTGGTCAGAGAATGGTTTGCTAATGTACACAAGCAATGAGTCCCAGCTCCTGGTCCTGCACCAAGAGATACGGAGCATGAATGTGACATTTTGGAAAAGTGGTTTGATGTCCAGTTTTTGCTTTTAGCCTCGCTATATCTAGGATTTCAGTTTCTCCCTCAATCTGTGTTTGGTTACAGATGTATTGCAGCATTGAATAGACCAGTGAATGTTTTTTGCGATGAATATCTACACGCAGCACATATAATGTAAAACTACGAAGACTCAGACCAGGGCTTGTCTAGGAAGAAAACATCAGACTAGTGGTCTTCAAACTCCAGTAATTTTGGTAGCAGTGCAGTTATGCAGTATGTAAGCAGAGGGAGAGACTACCCTTTTTCTTGGGCTTTACCTCTGTCCCATGAGTCCAGTGCTGGTGCAGGATGGGACATCGGGGCTGTAGAAGGGGCCCAGCAGGGCGTTGTCTACATCAGATTGTCATGGAGTGCTATCTGCAGGAGCATTTGATCTGCATCAAGCTAGCTGCCATTGTGTCCTCTTCCTGCCTACTTCTTGTAAGGACATAGTTTTTAAAGATGAATAAATACTGGCTTTTTAAGCCCATTTTATTTTTGTGTTCATTTGAATTAATTCCAAATCTTTCCAGAATATATATTTAATTGATTTAATCTTGTCCTCGAATAGAGACCATAGGTCAGAGTGTTTGAAATCTGGCTAAAATATTAATTTGCTGCAGGAAAAAAGGATCATAGTATATTTCAGCATTCCCAACTGCCATACAGAAATACTGTTAGTTCCTCTTTAAATATAATGACTAAAATAATTCATGCATCTTTAACAGTTTACTGAAATCAGTCTGGGCATCTCATGGAGTATAATTTATTTTGGTAAATTATGAGCCCACACTAGAGTATGCTTTATATTCAGGTATGCTTGATACATGAAGACTCTGAGCACAAAAATTTCTAGTGAATCTTTCTTTGGTTGAGGTCAGAAAGGTTGAAGCTTGAATTTGATTAAAACCAAGAAGTATAAAGTGCTTGAGTTCATTGATGCACTAGTTAATCTGGTTTGTTTACATCATGGACTTATATGATTGTGAATACGTCTATGATTAACAATGTTTTCCATGTAAATTTTGATAGCTTTTTTTTTCTTTGCATAATTTTGTTGATTAAACAGAAACAATACATTTTTAACAGACGTCTGCTGTCTTTCAGTTATTTGTATGGGCAGAGAAGGAGCAAGGAAAGTGTTAAATAAATTTTTTGCACAAGAGCTAGCCAAATCTTCCTGAATGTGGAGAACTTAAGATTTGGTTAGTATACAGAAAATGTTTGGTATGGTCTGGGCTGCTGTCATGGTTTAGGGCTGGGCTGGCCACTAAATCCTGGACAGATGTTCTCTATTAACCCCTCTCCCCTCCCCAGAAGGGAAGAGAAAGAGAATAAGGGAGAGAGACTTTATCCATTGGAAAATAAAACTAACAGATTTAATAAAACAATAGTACTAATACTACAGGATAATAATGTAAATAGAGAAATGATGACATATATACAGATATGTACAAATATATAGAAAACCAATATAAAATCCTTCCCCAACTCTCCCCCAATGACGTATACGTCACCAGAGGCTCTGCAGAGCAGGGCACTGGAAAAGTTCCCCACTGGACCCGGCAGCAGGTGGAAGCAGAATGCAGGAACACATGGATCAGGATTGGAGGCAGACGATCTAGCAGGGTTCTACTTGGACTTCTGCAGGATCAGAAAAGCAGAGGGTAGAGAAGGGGTCAAGATGGAAGGAAGAGGTCAAGACCCCTGTGATGCCTCTGCTTTATACCGAGTATAACGTATGTGGGATGGAATACCCAGTTGGTCAGTTTTGGGTCTGCTCCTCCCCGTAGGTGGCGATATGGCACCCATGGTGTGACAATGGCCTTGTCATTATCACTTGTAGAATTATGCACTGTCTGGAAACACATGCTGCTAGTTTCAGCTAGAACAGCCACTTAGAAGAGACTGAGCTGAAAAGTAAAATCACTAAATAGAAAATTAGTTCTATTTAGCTCAAACCAGGACAGCTGCTTCTTTCTCATTAGTTTATTTCTGTTTATAATGTAAAGAAAAATGTTTGAAGCCTGAGAATTTTCTGTTGACATTTTAAATTTTCAGCAAATCTAATTGTGTGCATTTGGCAACATTTGGAAGGATATTTCAGCTAAGTTTTAGGACTTCGTTGTTTTATTGAGCTCAATAGAAATTTTTCAATTAAGGCTTGAAGTTTAGAAACAAAGACAATGTTTCTGGTCACTCTGGTAGATGTTATTTCTGAACAGATTCTATGGGCTGCTGTAGATTCATTGGCCTCTGTGTATTGGAGGGTTTGTTGTTGCATGCCTTTTTTCTGATGATCTACTTGGCCCAGGAACAGGAGGTAAATGATTTTGAAGTAAATAAACGATATTGTCAAGATAATGCAAATGACAAAAAAGTTAATAAATTGAAATTATATATTCTCTTAGAGTTTTCTTCTTTTTCTAGGGAATAATTTCTAGGACAGACAAAGAACCACTTTCAAGTATGGGTATTTTCTCTCTAAAATATATATAGCCCATTTATATGGCAATGTTAATTTGAAGTAGAAGTGCATGACAAACACCTTTTTAACAAATCTGAATGTATTTTGTATACTGTAAATATAACAACTAAATATAATGACCTGGAAAGGGTTTCTGCTGAAAATAAGCAGCTCCTGTAAGAGGATAGTTTTGCCTCTAAAATGTGACAAGCAGTTGTGAAGTCACCAGATCATGCTGCGTCTGAGGGAGATGGGTATCAATTCTCTATTATGCTGGAATCACAGCTTAAGAAATAAAGATCTTTTATTCAGGGCTTTTTCTCATGAGGACTACAGAGAAAAAAAATCACAGAAATTTCCCTAGTATTTCTTTTGTTTTTCTTTCCTCTAAATATGTTGCTCTTTTACTGGCAGGAATGAAAAAGAATATATTAGAATACTTTTGTTCTAAATTGATGGAATTTTAGAGGATGGAAATATATGAAATTCAGGTGTATGCCATTATGTCAAAAATACAACAGCACTGTGCATTCTTTTTTTCATTTTCATAAAATTTGCTACTATTAAAATGTTGCAACCTCTAACGTAGGATAATAGCATCATATTTATAGCAGAATAGAATATGTATTCATCTTGTCTTATGCCAGGTTTAGATAGCCTTGCTATTTGCAGTGACTTCATTGTGATGGCTTATATGTGTAAGACAAATATGACTGTAAAAAGCAGGACCTTGAGAAATTCTTATAAAACTGGCACCACGGTAATTTTTAGAGCAATGGCAGTTCTGGGGCCTGAAGAATACACATATTTACTTCTGAATATTAAGTCTGTATTTATTTATTTATAGTACTATTAAATGGGAAAGTAATTTTGAGTGCTCCTAGGGATTAGAGATGTTGACACTGAGTACAAGTTATGCATAGATGGTGTTTCTTCCTCTCTGGAGAATGTTAAGATGGTACCTTATGTGAAAGGGAGGTCTGTGATGCAGCTTAGGAGAGGGTGGTTCAAAAAGCCTTGTCCTTTTCTGCTGCTACATGAATGAGCATTGTCTCCACTCCTTAATTCATAGCATCTCATCAGTAGACAGAGCAATTGCTGGCATGCAGATATAGCCTGGAGAAGAGAAGGCTCCGGGGGGAACCTTATCGCAATCTTCCAGTTCCTGAAGGGGTCCTACAAGAAAGCTGGGGAAGGGACTTCTTTATAAGGACAGGTAGCGATAGAATGAGAGGAATGGTTTTAAACTGGAAGAGGGTAGATTTAGACTAGGTATCAGGAAGAAATCCTTCCCTATGAGGGTGGTGAGACACTGGCGCAGGTTGCCCAGGGAAGTTGTGGATGTCCCCTCCCTGGAAGTGTTCAGGGCCAGGTTGGACAGGACTTTGAGCAACCTGGTCTAGTGGGAGGTGTCCCTGTCCATGGCAGGGGGGTTGGACTGGATGATCTTTAAAGTCCCTTCTAACCCAAACTATTATATGATTCTATGAATTTTAGGTTCCTGATATGTGTTTTAGTAGTTAAAATTGAGGAGGTAATGGGAACAGCAAGAAGTGTTAAGAGTTAACCACCAGCCCAGGAGGATGGTTTCTCCATTAATCATAGTCTGGGAATATTTTGTACCACACTGAATTAAAATGCTTTCTTTCCCCTCTAAATCTTACTTGCTATTTTAAGGTTAAGACCTTTCTAAAAGTCAGAAACTATTTATCTGGCTGATGCTTAACAATGATGAGATGGGGGTGATTAGGAGAAGTCAGTCTGCCAGTCTTCATCCTTTTTGATTTTCAATCAGGTTGATAAGCAGTTAAGAAATTTTTTTAAAGCAGTTATCATTTGTGTAATTTAGTAATGCCTCAGTAATTCCTGAGGCGATCTTAGTGGGGTTTGTTACAGTACAGGAGGCAGCTGCATGAGTCCTAAACTGCTGTCAGTTAGTATGGATAGCTCCATCAAAGTCTGAGGAGTAGGATTAGTTTATACCTGCTGACATCCTGGTTCTGTGTTTTGAAGGTTGTAGTCAAACTTAGTTCAGCTAAAAATAAATATACTGCTTTCTCATATTTGCTTTTTAAAATCATGTGTTTGAATTACAGAAATCTCATCAAGTTACTTTCATTTATAGTTAAATTATGCAGAAACAAGACTGAGTCAATTGGAAGACTGTCATTGTGAGAAGACTTGTCAAGTAAATGGATTGATCTATAGAGACAAAGACTCTTGGGTTGAAGATGATCACTGCAGGAATTGCACATGCAAAGTAAGAATTTCTAAAGAGTTTAAGAAGTAGAACCTAATTAAAATGTGAAAATGGTCCTTGAATACATAATGTTAACTCTGACTATTATTATGTTTTTAGTATGCATCTAGTGGCAGTATGAACAATAGGGAGGGAGATGGTGAAATAAATAAATAAGAAGTTGACATTGCTTATATGCGAGGTCCATATATAAAATCTGCTTTCCCTTGACATTGCTTTCTCATTTGTTCTATTAATATCTGCGAGGACTTTACAGTTTTGGGGTGAAAGCATGGCATTGTCCATGTTTGTTTTAGAATTGTTTTCACTGCAGTAGTTTTTTGAAGAATGAAGCATTATCTTAATAGTATTCATAGATGCTTAGTTGCATCTTGCATGGTAACAACATGCAGATTCTGTTTTCAGTGTTTTCACTCTGAAAAACTGAGGAACAGAAGAGAATTAGTATGTAAATCTTGTCTCATTGAAATTATTTGTTAAATATCTGAAGAGAGTCTTTGTTTGCTCAAGAAAATAGAAAACTGATTGTTAAAAATCTCAAAGATGATTGGCACAGCCTACAGAAAGTGATGCTCTTGTTCTTGTAAAGATGGGCTTATGTTTTCCTCTTAATGCACTTTGCTCAGGGTAAGTGGGGTAAAACCAGTAATGTATCAGAATGGGTTGGTTCACCTTCAGATGCATTTTGATTGAGATGCAAGTTTGTATTTGAATAGGATTAAACTTTTTACTGAAGGATGGTTCTGTTATCCGCAATGCTATTTTCATTTAAAGTGTTTTCTCTCTTCTGTGTTATGTATAAAATACTTGCTAATTACAACGATCATGGTTGAATTTTGTCTTAAAACCTTTGCTTAGAGTGGAGCTGTGGAGTGTCGAAGGATGTCCTGCCCTCCTCTTGATTGTCCCCCTGATGCTCTCCCAGTGCATGTGGAAAGCCAGTGTTGCAAAGTATGCAAGGGTAAGTACATCACACAGTTTCACCCTCTGTCTAAGTAAACTTATCATGAAAGCAGATCTGTTTTAGAATGACTTTCATAGATTCTGGTAATTCAGATAACATAAGCCACAGTGCCAAACTTGATTTAAGAAGAAAATAAATAATTGCTGAGGAATCAACAGGCATTGGAAATTTCTAAGATTCTCTTTATACTTATTGTCAGTGTAAACTATTCATCTCCTTGTTTGGGGCTGGGAAGCCTTACTTCGCTTCAGCTTGTATCTCCTGTTGATGTTGAGGAGCATCAAACCTATGAGTTTCTGTAGTGATGAGGAATAAACTGAGCTGTTATCTTTTTGCCTATCTTTTATTTTGGATTGGAAGGTTGTTCTTTAAAATAAACATGACACAATTTCAGTCCCTGGGTTACTATCACTATGTGGAGTGATAGTTTGCTGTATTTAATTTCAAAATAAATTAATGAGAGGAAAGAAAAAAAGTAGATTTTAATGTCAGTGTTATTGTCAGCTTTCAGTTCCTTCTGGAAATGAAAGCTGTAGGTAGCATTCCTGGAAAGGCTATTCAATATTTGTTGCCTTGTCTTTGTCCCCTGTACTGCTGTTAATTTATATATGGAAATTTTAGCTGAATACTGGTACCATTCTTACCTTAAGAAGCACTGTTTGTTTCTTCCCCCTGCTCTGTTCGTGGAGGCTATTAAACTTCATGCATGTGTTTTTCAATAATTCATTTAGACAGGGATACTGAATTACTTTGAAATTTATTAGGAAAATAATAACACTTTTTTTTAGCATTCTGTCACCTATCTTCAGTCACTGAGTTCATTAGTCCCATGCACAAACATCCTTTAGCTGTGATCTTGCATTCACTTTTGTTTGCTCGTGTCATCTCATTTCTCTCAGCTATATGTTAGCATGAGTATTCTGTTTACTAAAAGATGTTTATGAACAGAGTACTTGGGTGGTAAAGTCACCATGCTGGCCTGTGCTTTTTGTCTCAAAATATTTCTATTTGTAATGCTGAGAGTCTAGAAAGTTCTTTCATGCAACGGGTTGCTTGTCTTGACGTGTCTTTGCTAATATGCATGTATGCACAACGGTCGAAATCTGACACAAAGGAATTGCAAGGCACAAAATTTTAGATTCAACGTATATTCCCATGAGTAAACTGTGTTCCTGTTATTTGTAATGGAAAGATGAACAATCAAACTTGCTTTTTGTCAGTGATTGGCACAAACTTGACTTGTTATTCTGACAAGAACTCAGCATGTCAGTCAATGGGAAGAGATGTATGGAAGTTGATTGAAATTGATTGTAAATGCCAGCTCCTTGACAGAATGATGTGCTAGGGCCGCAGTCAGTCACTTTTGGGTAGATAGTAGTAATTGCTGAGGCTTTCCAAAGAGTTGCACTGCGGGCGTTAATTTCGCTGTGCTTTTCCTATTTAGTGCTGATAGAATCATCAGTTGTAATTTGCTGTCTCTAGGGATTATTGAATGGCTGGATTATTGAACAGTTTCCTGTTTTAGCTGAGGGTTAATGAATGAAGTAGCTCTAATGTCTGATATGTTAAGGGTTTTAAAAATGAGGTGGTTCTGTTTTGATCCCTGCCATCTTGTGTTAGCCTTCCAACTATATTTGGCAAAAGACTATAATTTTGTTTAAAATATCATCTTTTTTCTGACTTGTGTGTTAACTTGCGTTCTGCGGTGTCCATTCTTTTGTTAAAAGCAGTCATGTCAGGAGAATAGACAGAGAAAGGAAATGTCTCTAATTCATCTTCTCCCAAAAATAGTTACTTGGTTTCCTAATTAAAACAAAGCTTCCTGATCTGAAGTTTTCTTCATAAGTGAGATCACAACAGCTCAGACATTAAAAACTAGGGCAGCTTTAGAAAAATGAAGAAAACTAGGATACCAAAAGGGAGCAGCCTGGTTTTTTAAATGTGTTGTTGACAGTGAAAACTGAGTTATTCTGAAAATCTTGCTTTTTTTTTTTTTTTAAATATTAATTTCTATTGAAGAGTGTAAGTTTAAACAGAAAATCTTTGGAAGCAAACTCATGGCTGAAAGTTTATGAAGGTTGATAGCAGTCCTTTATGTTTAGGATTTGGGAATCAAACTGGCTATGACAGTTGCTGCTGTGGAATACTCCTATTGGTATCACCCATAAGAGGTACTTAAGGGTGATACCAGCAAGGGCTACTTATAACAGGTATGTGTGGCCCTGCTGGAGGTTAGCACCTTCTTCACAGTGGTGGTAGTCCTAAGCTAAGTTAATTGACTTTGCCTTGAAGTGAAATGAAGAATGCTCACATGTTCTAGTCTGTTGGTTCAGTTGTGGAGCTGGTTGTCTTTAGCAGAAGGGACAAAACTTCAGACAAGAATTTTTTAGTAGGAGCTTTCAGTTTCCTGTGAAATCTGCTTATTTCTTTTGTGCTTTAAGAATATTTTTCTAAAATAGGTTTTTATGGTTTGTTGATACAGTAGAGTCATTTGCTGCATCTAATCCATTTTTGCACTGCTTCAGCAAGTTGAAGAGTTCACCTTTGTGCCCACAAAAAATCTGAAGGCTTAATTGAAATCTCTGCTTATATTATTCTCTTGATGGACAGTACACTAATAAATGTCTCCAGTTCTTGAAGTGCATCATGAGGACTTCTAGTAGCACAGATACTGTAACTAATCTGCGGGATGTCAGTAATGAAAATATTTTGTATTGAATACTAATGAATTTGGTCCAGTACATGTTGTCTTATGCTCTTTTTCCTTCTCTTTAGTTTGGGTGAGGGTACTACTTGCTCTTAAAATGAATGTATTGTTAGCTACTTTATTTGTAATTGTGTATAATACTGACTTCTGAAGAAAGCAAAATGCATCATATTCTTAATATTTCCATATTTATTCAGTGTATGTGAATATTGGTTTTACTTTTGTGTTATACTTTGCATTTGTTTATAGTTTAAATACTGATTTAGTGTATTTATTTTTAATCCCCCTCCTTTTCTCAAATTACAGCAAAGTGTATCTATGGAGGCAAAGTGCTCGCAGAAGGTCAACGAGTATTAACCAAGAGCTGCAGGGAGTGTCGAGTAAGTTTCAGTTGTATAAACTTTTCCTGATTTTAAATGTATGTGTGGTGTTCAAAAGTGACAATGATAAGTTAGTGCATTTCTTTAGGTTTGCTTCATGCAAATGTGACTTCTGTAGTCTTGAAAAGGTGACATTGAAGTCAGTGAAAGCCACAGATATGAAAACAAGACAGGAATGTGACCCTTGCAGGGTAATAAAAATATGGGCAAATGACTTGGAGGAATGCCTTCTCTTTTATCTTCTGCTTTCATGAGCTCTAGAAGAAGGCAACAGCAACTTGAGCTAGTTACTAATTTCAGCCAAACTGCTAAAGTTTGAGGCAGCCTGGCTTATATTGTTTGAGTTACTCTAGATTTGCCTGAGTATTTAATCTGTACGTAGCCCTGCTAACAATTGAGGTAAATGACTAAATGTTGGGCTGGACTGGGGTCTTTCTTGACAAGTTAATAACACATAGTCAACTACAGTAAGTATTTAAGAACACAGGTTAATGGAGGCTGTGTTAGACAGGAGCATTCAGAGAGTGTTAGTGAAAGCAGAGTGCTACATGGTGTGGCAGAAACCAGTTGTCAAGACTAGCCTTAGAAGAAGAGAGTAGTGGTTATAAAAGGCCTATTGCTCTGCTGTGATGTGTATTTGTTGTGAATGTGTGTGTTTTAAATATGATTTATCACTTATGAAAGGCACAGCTGTTTTAAACACATTTGCTTTCACATGTAGTTTTCAAGTTTTTTTGTTTTTACATATTATTGAATTTGTAGAGGGGAGAGGGTGATAAAGGGGAGGCTTGCAAATGTTATTGACAGATCAGTGTGCTAGAACAATTATGAAAAACATTTGGAAAAGATTACAATGATCTGGTTATTGTTGTGGTTGTAGCTGAGTGTACAGAGTAGCAATTTTATGTTCACTAATGGAAATGGACAATAACGGGTTGCAGATGTTGTGAAAGCAGCTTGTTATGCAGAATTACTTTGCTGCTGTTGGTGTTCAGCTGTGTAGGGGTACTCAGCATTGTATATACAAATATGTGGGCAAGGTCGTTGCCTTGAAGACAAAGGTGCCTGTTATTTATAATATGACATTGAATGTTTATTAGGGAGGGAAAGTGCCTATAGGAAATAAGATGAGAACAGGAGGATTTTCACATTTAAAGTGAAACCAGAGAGAGTGATCTGATATATATCAGCGGAGCTTCTCTGTGCTACAAATAAGTGTTATATCCATCATTATGAGCATGCTAATACTCATGAAAAGCAAATACTGACCATCAAATATGTCATATTAGAAATTACTAAAATAATGATGAAAAGAGTATTTGCATTTTACTTATTGTTAAAGGAAATGGCTATGGCAATGCTAACTGCTGTAGTGTTGCAGTTTGTATTATATCCATCTTAATAGAGAGTATAGCTAAGTATTTGAAACAGTGTATGTAAATACCATACCATTAAAGAAAAGTGTGTCCTTGCTGGTGTGAAAAGAAAAAGTATTTCCACAGTTTAGTTTTAAGAAGGCATTAAGCCTCAATGGCAAATCTTATCATTCTGACTTGGGAAAGTTTTTAAGTGGGTGCTTACCTCTGCTTATATGAGATGATGTGTCTCTGGACAGAAAGTTCATTCAACAAGTCTTCAGCATGACCTCTTAAAAGCTGTAAGCCAAACATCTACTTATTTACTGCCTCAATTAGGAATGCTTACTAGATGATGAATGGCTGTGAGTCAATCTGTGGCTGTACTCATCATTTTTTATCCTATGTGGGTGTACTGGTGGACAAGGTGCTGTAAGAATAAAGGAAAAGCTTTGTGCTAGGGGAAGGACTTTAAAAATGTAATATGGTTTAAATTTCAGGAGTTGAAAAACAAATATCAAGCTTGAAAAGCGGTTGATCCATGAAGGAATACAGTTACTGTTAGTCTTTTTGGCTGATAAGGTACATGGCTGGCTCGTGTTCAACTTGGTGTCTACCAGGACCCTCAGGTCCTTTTCTGCAAAGCTACTTTCTAGCAGGGTGACTGCAGCATCCATCATGCAATGGTCCATGGGGTTGCTCCATGCACTTCTCCTTGTTAAACTCCTTAAGGTTCCTGTTGGCCCATTTTTCCAGCTTGTTGAAGTCTTTCTAAAAAATGCAAATGTGCATGTGCTTTAGAAAAATGCACCTTTCTACATTCAGTAAGTCATTACTTTGGTTTGTGGATTTCACCAGTATGGTGAAATTACAGGTCAATGGAAGGAATTCTATAACTTTTATTGGATTGAGAGTTTACTGCTCATCTGCTAATTTCTGGAATAAAGCCTGTGAATGACATTATGCTTATTCGTAACTGGATGATGTGTTTGACAGCAAAGGGTACAAGAATAATTTACTTTTCATTAATGCTGGGAGTGGGCAGTCAGAGAGTGCCCTGCAAATGCTAGAAAGATGGACAAGGTTCCACTGACTTTCAAGAAGCTTGACTAAAATTCTTTTTGTAAATATAAGGAACAATGTGGTTCCTAGAGTGACAGCTAAGGGTACTTTTTAGAACTTTCTCCTGGAAGGCTGATCAATAACAGCTGAAACAAGGGGAAGGGAAAACCCCAAATAACAAATAAACAAAATATCCTTATCTGAAATCTTAGTATTATTTTCCAAAGCCGATTATCTGAGATGAGCTGTTGTTGCAATTTTCACTGCATGTCACTGATTAGGCTTACAGTCAATTTATTTTTTTATGTACTTACATTTTTAATGACAAGAAATTTAATTATCTTGTAAATGTTTGACTCCAAGTCTCATTCTTTGTGGATTGTGTGTCACAGCTGGAGCCTGACCTATTTATTCCAAAAGAAAGTCTTTTTGACATCTATTTCTGTCTAGATTCTATGACTACATATGCGTATTGAGTATAAAAAATTAGTAATTTTTCTAAGGCTGCCTGAAGCAATAATTCTGAAGTGTGAACTGTTCTTGCTTATCTCAGTGGATAAAATCTGAAACCTGCTGATGATAATTCTTATAATTGAATCTGCTCCAGTTTATAAAAAAAATATTTTAATCCAAAGAATACTCAACATGGAAACATTTTAATTGTTTTAAAACATAATTACAAATAATGTTCAGTTCATTTTCCCAAGATGCCAATTCTGCAGAAAAAGGGAAATAAAATCGTTTTGTCATTAAATTAATGGAATTCTTAATTTGTCGTTCTTTTTTTATCACCTTATGTTTCACCAAAGAGAGTGTGAGCTTGGATTGTATTTGTCCTTATCTTTTGACTCATCCTGATCACTGATTTGGCTTTCATATGATTTCTTGATTTCTTGTCATCTTTTTGACCAGATCTAACACTTTTTGTCCATCTGTTGACATACTGTACCCTTTCTGCTGCAATTGTCTTGTCTGAGCTTGAGCAGGTGATGAATTATAGCCAGAGCTTTTCCAGCTGGTAGTTTGATAACATGATAGTAAATGACGGCTCAGTGTGTCTGGTTCTTTTATCACCTTTGTTACTGCAGTTGCACAGGCAACCTTGGGGGATTCCTCCCTTTCACTTATGGAAGTGAGATCAGAAGGAGACCTAACACCTCCATTAACTTCACTGTTCTTGTGTGGGCACTTGCTTCAATGATGCATGCTGTATGTGGTGCTATAGGGAGCTGCTTTAAAAAAACAAATTAAGAAAAATAAAAGAAAAAAATAAAGAAAAAAAGAGAGAAAAAAGAAAAACTTATGCCTGTGGGTTTTTTTTATATTATTTTTCATGACAGCAACTGATGCAACTTGCCGATAAAGACAATTGGAAAGTGAGAAAAACAGCCAGTGACAGAGTGGTCAGTTTTGCATTCCCTAGGTCTGCTGCACTTCTCAGTTGTAAGACCTGCGAGCTGCTGGGCACCGTGTGCATCACTTGCACCTTGTAGACACAGCAGGCGTTTCTGCGCTTATAACTGTGAAGGGCAGCTTGGTGCTGTGAGAAATAATTCTGGAGCCTGAAGCGGCACAGCTGAATCAGTGTGGCATGGCTGAGGCTAATTACCACCAAGGTAATTTTGCCTGTACTGGTTCTGGCACCTGAGCTAGTCTTTTGTCATGGTGTGGCACAGTGTCTTGTAGATATGAAAGCAAGCTTCTGGCTAGCAAGGGTGTCTCTATATAGGAGTGTTTCTTCATACAGGGTAGATGTGTATATATTTTCAATATCCTCTGTTCAAAGTCATGTATCTGATCCCTCAGATCATGAGAATGTTGGCTTTCAGAACATGTCTTTGTCTTTTTTTTTTTTTTTTAATATTGGTTTGGTATTTCCTCTGCTTTCTTAGCCCTAGATGTGTTTGGATCATATTTTTAAACCTTTCCCCTCTATCATGATAGCTAGAAAATGTAATTTGTTTCATTGAGGAAAGCAAAAATTCTCATTCCCTCTTTTTGTTCCACCATCTGAAGCATCATGAAAAATACTTTGGGAGAAGTGGAAACTAGATTCATAATAAAAAGCTGTATTGGCAACATAGCAGGCTGCCTGCTTTCTAGTGGAGTTTCACAGCCCTTTGGAAAATGGGATTACTCCAGTGTGGGCAGTCCTGCCGGATAGTTATTGTAGCTCCTACTGAGCAAAAAGCATGGTTGCTAATCTCTGCTCCGCTTGCCAGCTTGCAGTGATGGCATAGCTGCAGAAGGGGTGCTGAACAAGCAAATTATGGTATGGAGGAAAACTGGAGGGGAATAAGGGAAAAGAGGAGGCTATTTTAGGACAAGATGTTAAGAAACAGCTAACTAAAGAGCAGGACAGCTGTTTGGTCTGGAGATGTGGTGAAGCTGATTTCTTGGATGGAAGAAGGTGGAGTAAAATTTGGTGTAAAATCTCCCCTGACAACCTCTGTCTGTTATTTTAGAAAATATTTACCAGCAACTAGACCTCCTATGTGCAGTATTATTCTAAATCTAGCAGAAATCAAAATCATAGAAATATCTTGACCTTGATTTACATTTTATACAGCAGTTGCTATATGGATGCCTCAAGATGGGATTTTTGCTTTGCCATACCTTTAAAGGCCCTATTTTTTTTTTTTAAATTAGGTGATTGTTAATTCTAAAGAACAGACCCTTTTAACTGGACACAGCAGAACAACACAGGCACTTGAAAATGTTGGTCTTCTGTCTCTGTTGTGGTTGGGGTATTTAACATGGTTGTGTTTTAGCAGCAATTCAAGATTTATTATTGAAAGGTTGAATTCTAGCAGCGCTTAATCATTAACGAATTTAAAGATTAACAAAATGATTCAGTAAGATACGTTATAATTAAAACAGTGACTTAATTACAGGTTCAAGAATGACAAGACTCACACTAACTTACTACGCGGTATCCTGAATTAAAAAGAAAATAAAAATATATGTACATACATAGAAACATGAAACATACAAACACAGACAGACAGAAAGATTAGGATCCAGTGAAATACATAGACTTCCACACTTGTGAAGGCAAATATGTATATTCAAACACATAGGTGGAGAGGTGGATACCAGAAGCTAGCTGTAGTTAAAATTTTCCTTTTCTCAAGTCTTCAAAATGCGTCGACATTCCTCAGTGGGCAGTAATTGAGCCTTGAGAAGTCTGACTTTGCCCTTCATCAGCTTTCTTGGCAGACAATCTTTAAAACCCAAGGAGTCTATACCTGAGAGGCGTCCCAGCTCCAGGGAGATGCTGGTCACAACCCGCTGTGATCCAAGAGAGCTCAAAGGGTCTCATATAGAGGTGCTGTTTATAGCATCTGAGATAATTGACTTTTGTCAGGTATTTGTTTCATTTTGGCCCAGCTCAGATGATGAAATATTCTTGTACTCTCTACCAGTTGCACCACCACAATCTTCTTTATTTGTTTGAGCTGAGTAATTTCTCTGTGAGTTATGCAAAATATTAGATAAGAGGAGTAAAACTCAGACTTGCATAAAGCAGGAAGACTGTTTTTAACAAAAGCCTGGAGTGAGATTCTTTAATTCTTTAACATATTTAATTCCTTCATATACTTGGAAGGAAAATAACTATACTTGGAGACAATGCATTTGGAAAAAAACTACTACAGAATTCTCAGCTTAAGTACCTTTTTTTTTCCTTTTCTTTTCTTGCAACTCAGGGCATTAAAATGTCAATTTGATGTTATGATGTAAAGAATGGATTTAACTTGCTGCCTGCTAGTTTACTGGTGTTGTTTACCAGTTATAGATGAAAATTATGTGTTCCTTGTCATTGTACATGTTTTCATCAATGCCATTTTTAAAAATGTTGTTTGTTTTTCAGAATGGAGTTTTAGTAAAAGTGACAGAGGCTTGTCCACCATTGAACTGCTCAGAAAAAGATCACGTTCTTCCAGAGAATGAATGTTGCAGTGTTTGCAGAGGTAAGACAGAGAGAGACTATGCATGCTTGAAAGGAATAAGTTGCTAATTCTATGGGGGGATACACTGGAAGGAACAATTCCTTTTTAATGAGATTTACGTACCTCTCTAAACCTGAATCTATAATCAGCCTTCATGTAAAACCAGTCTGTGATATTCCTTTGGGTAGAAGACTTGCCAGACACAAAGCTGTAATTGCTTTGAATTGGAGATGTGGAGGGAGAAAAGGAGGAGTTGGGGGAGAAAGGGCCCAGTATCTCTTAATAATTCCCTTTAGGAAGAAGTTATGTTTGAAAAAGGGATATTTTATGTTGCTTAAACTTGCAACTGCACTGAATGTACAGGGTTTTGGAAATAGGTTTTTATGCTCTTTATTTTTAAATCGCAATAATAATGTTCAGATGCCAGTTTGATGGATATTTTGAGATTTGTTTAAATCTGAGTGCTCTCAAGACTCATGTATGAGTTAAGCTGGAGAATTACAGAATAAAAATGAAAAAATTAACCCTAGAGCCCAGAATCCCATTTTCCCTCCTTCCAGTGGGGTGTTGAGATGCGAGTTCCTCTTGCTTATTCCCTTTCAGTATTGGTGAGCCTTGGTTGTATGCTAGAGAAGACTGAAGAAGCCATAGCTAAAACCTTAGTTGAGGAAATCCCCTTAAATGAGAAAAATGTAGATGCCACATGGATGGAGAACTCTTACAAGCTTCTTAGTGTGTTGTTTGGTGAAAGATGTTACATTAATCGTTCCCTGTGTACATCTGTATTGTAACTTTGTTCCACACCTCTCCCTTAGTGTTGAGTCTCAGCTGAGCTTAAGGGTAGCCTGGTCTCTCAGAGCAGGACTTGTGTGTCAGCCTTTAGTGATGCACCTCAGAAGTTTCAAGCAAGAGGATTGCCAAATGGGCAATAGCCAATTCCAGCCTTAGATGGTTGGAGCCTGCTGGACTACTTGTCTTGCCTGTATGCAAATTCCTCCAGTGATCATTGTAGATGCCATTGAAGGGGCTCTGAATCTGTCCCTTAGACCGTAAATATTATATCAAGAAATATGCATAGTTAAATATTTACTGAGGCCTTGAACTTGGAGGAATATGCAGATGATTGCAGGGGCCAGCATGTTTGAGAACGCTTGTTGAATCATGGTCTAAGAATGTACACATTAATACTTTAAACAGTTTCTGGAAACATCTGTAACTATTTAAGCAAGCAGGAAATGCTGCTGCTTGGTCCCTCAGAGGGCTCAATTTCTTAATGATAGTTCTTAACAGATGGCCCAGTTTGATGTAGTGCAGTACTGAAAGAATTATCTTCATTACTTGAAAGCATTAGAAATCTGAAAGCTTCAAAGTTGATGAAAGATAAGTTCTGTAATTACTTAGTTCTATATTATTGTTGATGATAGGTACTCTTTTTAGATATTCATCCCAAAACTGGTTTTATTATTTATGACATAGCATGAATATGTATACTTATGTGATGGTCTCTAGAAGCAGAGGAAGGAGTTGTACTTTCACTTCCTATGAATTCTGATGCATGGTCCTTTAAAATTGTTACATTAAACTTCTACTTCAGTTCTGCATTAGCCGCCTGCTAAAACAGTTCCACCTCCTTTTGTATTTTTTCTTTGTTTTTAAAATTCTTTTGAAAATTAGGCTTAAAGGTATGATTAATTTTGTCAACTTTACAAAGGCATAAATTGCAGTTAGTACTCCTAAATAGCTTTTAATATCTTAAAGTAGAATATATGCTGCTTGGCACTTTTGCTTCAGTTGCATACAACTCAGAGTGGTAGTATATGTATATTTTTTATCATATGTAGAGTGCTGGTGTTAAAAATGGATATTTATTAAGAATTCCATGTTTGGTATGGGGTTTATCGTGCAATCAGGTGTCCTCCGGTATGGCAAGCAGGCCATAGTTTCTGATCCTGTCCTGTGCCAACATGTCCTTTAATGGGAAAGGAGAGAGTACTTCTCTGTTTTGCAATAATGACCTCTTACAGAAACTATATTCGGCTTTTATTGTATAAGCAAAAGTAGTGAAGAACAAATACTGTAGTAATTATAGTCTTGAGTGATCAGAGCATTTATTGGAAGTCCACATGAATCATTTGCACGTCCATGTGCAAATTTCACATTGTATGTATGTTGATACAGATAATTCTTTGCCTTATCCCTTAGCTGGGCCTTTAGTTAGTCAGTAGGATGACAAGTAAGCATTTACTAGTAATGTTACGTGAGAAAAGTAATTCTATGTAAAGTTTATAAGTGCATACCTGTGACAAGTTCTGGTTTTGTATCCATTTGTGCTTTCTTTAGTATCTACTGGTGGAAACAGAAGACTTTACTGAATCTGGTCTTCTGTAGAATTGTAGAATAGCTTTGCAGAATTGGGCAAGGTTAGGAAGTTTGCAGCTTGTGCTTTTCTCTCTGCAGCAAAGGAATTTATGTTTAATGAAAGGATAAATGTGGGGAATCAACAGAAGGAAAAAACACACAGAGAAATACAGAAACTTCCTGATGTTATGGTATGAGACTGAACTCTCTTCAGGGATCTCTGTATTATCTACTACAATAATAGAGAAATGCCTAAAATAAAATAGGGTATGTAAGGAGAAAAAGAAATCTGTGGTGTTTATGGTGATGGAAATTGTGAGTCAGTAGAGGACTAAGTTGAAGACTATAATGTACACAGCTGGTGGGCTTCCTAGATAGCCATTATTGTTTGTAAATGGTTCGAAAAGTAACAACAGCAAATAATACCTTTTCTTCTTCAGGTCTTGAGTTTGTAATATGGCAAAAGCTAATATTGGCTAAAAGTCAGTTTCTAGGTTTCAGTAAAGTGATTGTATAAGGTGTACAGCAAGGCAGGCATAGTATGGAAGATTTCTGCTGTACAGTGACAGCTTATTTATGTGTTTTGATGTACCTGAATGCAAAAGTGGGCCTCATCTTATCTGTATATAGGCTCTATTCTTGAATGTTATGTAGAATATACTTGGTTTAGCCCTTCATCTGTGCGCTTTAGTATAAATGTCTGCTTAAAATATGTGGTTACTTTATACTTTTCAGTTGGACAGTGTGGTATTATTAAGCTCTCTTTTTAGACTTACAGAAATTTTAGTTAATTGTAAAATTTTACAAAAAATCGTTGTGTAATAAAATATATCTTTTTACTACTTTTTTGAGGATCAACCATTTTTCTTACAGCATGCCTTCTACACTTTTTATAGCCCAGGGACAAATCTAATACGAAAAATAGTGTCATAAAAGTGTTTTATTGTTCCCTTCAGCTGTTTTTCTCCTTGACAAAGACAGTGTATAATTTCAAAAAAGTGAAATTTTTCCTCTTTTGAACAAGTGATTCAAATAAAGTTTCATGAGAGAATTTTTATGTTGTTATGCTCGCAATTTTAGTATGTAAGAATAGCCTTAACAGCCCTAGAAGCTTCAGTCATGCTCTCCTTAAAAGAGTGTGTATAAGGAAATAATGAAGTAAAGAGAGCTGTTTGGTTTCTGGAGAAAGTAATTTTTATTTGCTATATTGTAATATGGTTTGGCTGATGGATTTAGATTGACTGCTGGGCCTGGTTAGCAGGAAGTGGAGAATCCTACTGATGAACTGAAGTGTGCATTTTAAAGCAAGGAACACCATTTAAATATAAAAATGAGGTTCCTGTCACACTTACTTGTATTGGTTTGTTTTGTTTTAAGGAGATTTGAATTCTTTCAATTAGAGGATGAGATGGCTCTTCAGTTAGTATGGTTCTCATCTCCCACTGTCTAGCTGTGAAACTGAGTTTTGTTTTTTCAGAATTGGAATGTTTCTCATTCATTCTTGCGAGGTATGAGTTATTGCAAGGTTTTTGTTTTATCAAGATTTAATGGGGGTATGACTTAGCTTGTTTCTAAATATGGTTATAATGTTACTTAGGATTTAGAAGATCTGAAAAAAAAATACAAGCTTGTTAGGCTGTGCACTGTAATGCACACAAATAAGTAGTATGTAATAAGGTCTGCATTGATGTAGCAGCTTCATGAATTCTTTTAAGTTACTGTTTTATGTCATATCACTGAGTTCTGGGACCACAGTCTCTAAAGGCGTAAAAACTGCTGTTCAAAGTTCTTCATTGCTCATGATTCATTGAAAACGGATTCAGGTCATGAAGAGACACAAGTGCTGGTACAAATTTTATGACTCTTCCTATGAGTTGTCCTCCAGATTTACTTTATGCATTTATTTAGTAACTGTGGGGTTAAATCATAACAATAGTAAAGATTTTGCGGTTGAAATGACATTGAACCTTTTAAACATTGCTAATGCTATTAGTGGAAGCATTGTGATCGTTCTTTTTTAGAAGCCTCTGAGATGTGAAACAGTCAAGTGTGGATTGCTGAAGGGCAGCTCCTTGAACAGCAAGAGAACAGGGAGTTTACAGTTTTTGAAGTGAAAAGCTAGGGGATACTGTAAGAAGTACAGAAAGTATTACAGATGTTATAGGGAATCTCTCAGCAATACTAATGTTGCCCACAAATATGTAGGAAGAGAGATGGATAAGTTATATTGATTCTAGTTGTAATCTTGAATGAGTTCTTGCATTGTTCAATGAATAGTTAGGCCTAATTACCAAATATGTTAGATACTTAGAAAACTGGATGACAGCACAAAACAGCTTAGCATACTGCTCTGCAAAAGCAGATTCTGGAAATTGGAACCTGAAGATATCGAGAACCTTGGTAAAATAAGAGCAGTGTTCAGATGTCCCAAAATGGGATAAATGTTTAATTTTAGATACTCTGACATGGGCCTGCTAAGCACTAACCTGTTGTGCAGTTCTTGATGCTGCAGAAGTGATAGTTTTACATCTGCTTGTATGAAATCCGATGTTTTTTGTAATTGTCTTAGTATATTTATGAATGGCTATTCTACAGTCAGAAGTAAGAAGCAGAAAGATACACATCTGTTCTTGAGAATAATTGGAGCAAACATTTCAGTGGCTTTGATAGGGAAGAGAATAGTGTTATCAGAAGTGTTTGAAGAGGGAACAGAGGTCATCAGGCCCATCAAAAATCTAAATGCAGTCTTCAGTATTTAATTCCCCTGTTGGTAGTATCTAATTTTATCTTGAATGTCGTGAATAACTTTGAAGGGCTGTTGTGCACATTTACGACTGTGTGTGTATGTGTGGGGAAAATGGTTTCTGACATCTGTTCTGAATGTGTTTATCTGTAATTTTAATTCATGCTCACTTGCCTTGTCATCTGTGTTGGCCTGAAATTAGTTTAGATTATCAGAACTATTTAAGATTTTGTGTGCTTCTGTCAAATCCTCTCCAATTGCCTGCTTGCTCAGTTGTGATGATTCTATTTTAAGCCATTTCTCATATTAAGAGCAGAGCTGACTGTCTCAGATAAGACTTTACTGAGTATTCTGAAGTCTCAGTGATTCATATATTTTCACATGGGCAATTGGAATGTATGCCTTCTGCTAGCTGCCACCCGTGGCTGAGATTCAGAGATCCCACTGCAATATCAAATAGTGGTTTTGCTGTCTGTGTAGGTATTTTAAAGAAACCCTATAATCCAATTCATGCCAAAGAATTAATAAAAATCAGATGTTTGCATTTTTTTTTCCATTTTGCTTGCCTGGGTATGAGTAATTGCTCCCATGAATGGACTGGCCATGAATAGATTGATGTTTAAGTCAGTGCTTAGGTCTCTCACTCTTTAGTCAGGAATATTAAGCATGGTCATCACAGTCAGAAGCCCTGTGTAAGTTCCAGACTGTTTTGCTGAATAAAAAAGAATTAAAGTACTTAGCTAAATTAGACGTTGTGAAAGGTGAGAACAACATGGATATATTTCTTCTTCACGTTACAGTCCAGATGTCAGGTGGCCTTTACTTGCCAGAAGAGCAGGTAAAGCACTTGGGCCCAGTATGAACTAAGATAGAGTAGGTAGCACTTTATTCCTTTCTTGCCTCTAAAATCCTAGCTGGGGAGAATGTAGACCACAATCTAAGAAATGTAAGAACTGTACTTCCTTGGTATGCACCTCTTAGCTCTTTTGAAGTGCTAAATGTGCATCTTCGGTGCAAATGAAAAGTACGTGGAAAAGCCTCTGATCCAATCAATGGTAAGCCTGCTCTGACAAAGACACAGCCAACCCTTACTCTTCTATACCATCAAGTGCATTTTTCTATTTCTGCAAGTTAACTTTAAATTACATTTATTTTGTAAAAGCTTGGTAATATACAGTATCCTAGCACTGTGCATGCTCTTTACAGGAATGGCTTCCAGTTTCCACTTATGGAGACATTGAACAAGTTTTCTGAAATGCTGTGGGAAATTGAAGTTGAGTCACATTTAGTCAGCATTTTTAAAAGGTAGGAAATGGTGTTTTGCAGGCCTTTTATAATAATAAATGCCAAGGCACTCTAGAGATGTAACTGTTCTATCATTGTGTGTTCCTAATGAGAGGAGAACAATGAAGAGTTCTTTTGAGCCTCTCATTACACAAGTTACAGAACCGGAGCATTACTTTTTCTTCTTCTGTGCTCTTTTAACAGTCTTCAAGCTTGAAAACTTAAGAGAGTCTGATTCTGAATGGAGACATTCAGATTTTATTTGATAATAAGGGAACAAAAGCAATACAGAGAACTTTCTCTTTTTCTAGAGAATTGTTAACAAAGGGTGACTGCTGTAGTGGTACAAAATGGGCAGTTAGGATAGTCATCGTACTACTGATGAGTTTCAGAGGTGGCGTACAAACAGTGAAGAATTCTTGTGGCTATGGAGTGATATTGAAAACTAATCAGCAGCTTGTGCTTGGGAGAAAGTGCTGTTAGAGAAGAGCGATTGATCTTAGACTCAGGACTTGTGATGAAAGTTAACCCTGTCATCCCTTTGGCTAATTTTAAGTGTTAGATTTGTCAAGAAGTGGTCACAAGGTAAAATGTTGACTCACTGGGATAGAGAGAGCAGAGAATCAAAGTTGGTTTTTTTTTTTTTTTAGTGCAGAAAGTTATATAAGGACTATTGTAACTAAAACATGCTGAGAAAGATGAAATAATTTTACAGGTCTGGATGAGAGGGAAATAAAAATAAATAAAAAAAATAATCCTGAGACAGCAGTAGCAATCCACGCTAAATGAAAATGTGGTATTTTTATAGTGCCTAGCTTAACTCACTGATACATTGGTTACATTGGTTCTGAGCAGTAGTATCTATCAGTAATAATCAAATATAATACTGTGTTCGAGTTCAAAGGAGAATTATTATTCTAGAGGAGTAGGAAGTAGACTAGGATGTCATAGTCTTAGGGGAAGCAGTGATAAAGAAAATGTTATAAAACTTTTTGTCTCTTGGATATTATCTAGAATGCCAGCAGAATAGTAATCCTGCTTGGGGAGTATCAATTAGATGCTGAATGGATAAGTTTGAGGAGATAGGTTCCAGTGTTTAATTTCAATTACAATTATAAAGGCAAAAATGATAAGTCAAATACTGTGGTTGGATAAATGGCTAAAGGCATTGTAACTGTGCCCTTTTTTACCAGTATAAAATGTACCCAGGCTTGACAAGGCTGTAGCTGGAGTACTTCAGTGGTTTTTACTGGACTGTGAAATGAATGAAGACTAGAGGGGATATCTGCAGTTTTTATTAATGGAGTTGGTTCTTTTTCACAAGTTGGATTACAATGGAAGAACAAGCTAACTTCAGTACAAGGATGATATCCTGGTTGTTAATAAAATTAAAGTGTAGAGTTGGATGACTGAGAAAGCATCCTCCTTGCTAACAGGCTTTTAAAACTGTGACCTCACAACCCAACATTAGATGATCAGACTCATAAAGTTGGAGTGCACTAAAATGATGAAAGCTGAGCTTTAAATTAGTAGATGACTGAAGTGAATGTTTAGAAACAAATCAGAAAGTCCACAGTGAACAATAGCTAGAGGATAAGTCTGAAAATTTGCTTACTGTAGATGAATACTATTTTTAGTATATACTAAAGTCTTCTGAAATTTCATAAAGAATATCAAAGCAAGGGATATGTATGAAGATCTGAATCTGGCATTTAGATCTCAGAAGTCCAGGTTGTCTTTTTCTTAGCTGTCTCTGTGGCATGTTAGGAAAGGTTAGGATCAGTGGACTAGAACTTGTTATTTGCTTCTTTATGACCAGGCAGAACTGGCAGAAACTGTTCTTGTATTCGTGTATGTTGAAATAGAAGTAGCTGATGATATGTCTGGGTTTCTGGTTCCTTTACTTCAAGGAGAGAAAATCCACAAAAAAGAATTACCAAAGTGACTGTTTATATATCTGTTTATATATCTCAAGCAAATAGAAATTGACTTTTGGATATAAATAGGGAAAAATCCATCAAAAATACACCAATGGGGGAAAAAATGATCCTGTTGTCAAATTCTGTAAGATATTTAGTTATCTCCTACAGGACTTTCAGTGGAATGCCTCTGAAGAGAGAAAAGTTGCAATTACTTTCATTTTAGACTTCAGCAGAGAGAGATTTTGACATATGTTTGAGAAATATTGAAAATCAGGAAGAAGGAATTTCAGCCAGTTCTGTTTTCATAGAAGAAAGTGGGGAAGTTCATCATGTTTATAGAAAGGCCTTTGAATGGTGTAAAAGAAACTGTTCACAAATAAGCTACCCAGAATTTGTGTCAAACTAAAAAGAGAGATTAATAAAAATTCTCCCCTACAAAGCATAATGCATGGATTAATAATGAACTGTAGAAACAATCCAGATAGTTTTTGATGACAGAATTACAAGGCAGTGCATGAGGTTGTTTAGACTACCAGTGTAGTTTTGTGTTCTAATGCAATGTCTCATTTTTGCTCTTCTAAAAGCATGCTTGATTATGCATAGTAAGAGAACTATGAGGGATTTTTTTTTTTTATATTACACTTTATTATCCTTTCGGAATGAGTTAGCATTACATTTCTTGGCAATTGTAGAGAAGGTGGCATTTTATTCTACACAGGTTCAGTAGAAGACTAATGTATTGTCATGGCTTCCTGCTTTGAAGATATCTTTTGTCTCAACTGAAACTAATCGGAAAAATAGGTTTTTGAACAAAATGGTTTTATTGACAATGAATCGATAGAGGAATCCAAAAAAACCTGTGTACACCAGATGGGTTTATTGATAGAATTTATGGAGTATAGCATGCCAAAGTTTTTCAGAGTAATACAGTCAATGTAAATATTAAGCCTGACTATCTGAAATAAACATGTTTTAATAGCAGCTTGCATGTTCCTTGTATTTCAGGCCATAACTTCTGTGCGGAAGGACACAAATGTGGTGAAAACTCAGAGTGCAAAAACTGGAATACAAAAGCTACTTGTGAATGCAAGAATGGTTATCTCTCTGTCCAAGGGGATTCTGCGTATTGTGAAGGTAAACAAAATATTCAAAGTCCTGTCCTCTTAACAACATTCTCAGAAACATATTAGTAAATAAATGGTTGATGAATGAATTGCTTTGCAAAGTTCAATTTCATGATGGTGAGTATCAAAAGGGCATAAATATCGGTTGACGAGTACAAGTGGTGCGGGACCATTCAGATTACCTAATTGTGGACATACATCATTGTTGCAGTTGTACCTCGGCACACCATGGTCGCACTGTCATTAGAATTTTAAGAATGCTGGTTTTTCAGCCAATAGCACCTACCTTCTGGAATGTTTTTTAGAGAACAACATCTTTATAAGACACATTAGTTTAGGAAGTGGGAATTCTGCTGACGTTTGTAAGAAAGGTAAGCATAAAGGTGTACTGAGGCTTGAACATAGAAATGATGATCTGCAGTCCTTCCTGAAGTACTTTGGTGGGCCAGGTACTTTACTGAAACGGTTTTCCGATGATACAGAAGAGACCTATTTCTTAGCAGAGTGTAGCTGAGGTACTTCTCTTGACGTATTATTCCATTACAGCAATGAATGCAGTGGGGCATTATTCTTCTTTTTGTTTCTCAGTGTTTTCTAGAGCTTGCTGTTACTCGTACCTATGATATACTTATTAAAAACTAAATAGATGAATCAACATATACAACATTCCTTTCTGCCTTTGTGCTGTGGGCTTTTTTTTAATGCCCTTGTATGTCAGGATGCAATATATAATCTTTTGACCATCACAGAAAGTTTTTAAACTACTTTGTAAGAACTATTTCCCTAGATTCTTTTTTCAGTGGTAGTGATGGAAAGGAGATGGCATTTTTGACAAGCTGTTAAAATATACTGTAAGAATTGGAAGACAGGATGAAAGAATAAAAAAAGACATGCATGGACTGGGCTTAAACAATCTTGCTTTCATAAAAAGACTTTTTAGTGTAAGTAAGTGAACAGAACTGCTTTAAATAGCAGTTTATAAAGCTATTCAGTAATTTGCAACTATAAATTTTACGATATTTATTTGATTGTTCACAAACTAAAATTTGAATGGCCCTATATATGCACTTTCAGTGACTGGGAAAACAGTTTACACATTTCTTTTTTTGACTCAAATAATTTTGGAGAAGTTGGTAGTGCATTAGTGATAGTTTTTGAAGACATTAACAGGAATTACAGTGTACCTGGTCTATGTTGTGTTAAGTTTTGGAAGGGCAAATCAAATCTTGGGCTTCTCTGCGTGTGGCTGAAACATGAGGCAATAGAACAAACACAGCTGCTTTTGCTGCCTGAGACCATAGGATAGATGAGAGAAAGGCTTTCTGCATGTTTTGAAATTATCAATTTGCTAGAAAAAGAGCAGTTCTTAGGTAATGTAGAGAAGAGAAGGCTCTTTGGCAAGGAGAACTACAGACTGATGAATCAATTAGCCAAGAAGTGATTCCTTTCAGCCCTGTGAAGGGTTTTCCTTTCACTCCTCAGAACAGCTTTCTGCAAAATCTCTTCATGTGCCTCTCTAACCTCATTTCTCTGATCTAGGTCTTTAATCTGTTAGTCACTTCATCGTTGCCTGTATAATGTTCACAAATGCATGGTGAAGCTGTGATTTAAACAAATGAGATCAAAGACATGTATCTGAAGGCAGAATTTGGCAGGATCTTGTAGATGGGTAGATATTTTTTTTTGTGGTTTTCGATTTCTGTGGGCACTGTGTAAGAATTAAATATGCAAAACACCTGAACAGCAAGTAGTAAACATGCAAAACACCTGTGGAAGCAGGGAAGATATAATTTGCAGTTGTAGTTCTGAATTTGACTTCATCATTCCTAAGCCTTTAAACTTAAAAGGCACGTAAGATTACTGTTTCCTTTGAGATGGTGAGGGTAAACTATTTCATACTTGTGACATGTGCTGGTAAGTGACACCTTAGTTCAGAGTGCTACAGATCATTAACTTGGAGCTTTTCAGATTTCTCATCTCTTCCAGTATATTTGAAATACTTGTGCATGTGAATTCTAATGTGTGGTATTATTTTACCTTACCTTTATAACAGTAAGTTACTTCTGCTCGGTCTTATTCACACAGTTTTAACCTGCTGGACCTTATGGCATCATTTTGATCTTGTAAGATCTCTGAAGAATTGTGTTTGAGTCTGCTTTTTTTACCTTCATTTGTGTATTTTATTAACATTCCGTATTTGTATTTGCAGTATGGTGGAATAAAAGAGTAAGATTCTAACTTTTGTCAGAGAATTGGCATCAGCAAATTTGTAAAATAACAAAACCCCAAGAAGCTTTTACTATTCATTCTCAGTATCTACTTTTCCAGTAGTTAGCAGCTCCTCATGTCAAAATATACATGTAGGATAACCACTCACTATATGTATCCTGTTTTTGAAATAACATAGATGTGTTTAAGGAAGACAGTTTCTGGAAACAAGCAAGTAAATGAAGCTTGTAATGAATGGAGGAGATAAGTGGATGTTCTCTGTTCTGTAAACGCAATGTATTTCACTTAAAAACAGAAGAGTTGGGTTTTTTGACATCTGCCTACTTGTCTTGCGTGTATGAGACATAATTAGAGCATTCATCATTTGCAGAGAGACGTATAGAGATATTTGTGTTAATCATGTTGTCTGAGGTTTAACTACTGCTGAGGATACTTAGCAGTACCAGTGTCCGTCTATCTCTGTTGCATATGCATGGATTAATTCTGGGAATTGCACAAGTAGCTGGAGTGTCCAATTTCTGCAGGATGCAAGCATTCAAGTTGTGGCAACACGTGTGCACTTGCAGCTGTGATGTTTTAGTAAATAACATGTGAGCACCTGTGTTGAGGGCTGAAAGTTGCATGCATGAGAGTTACAGATGGCACAGCAGTTCAGTGGCAAAACCAGGACTGAAATGGGGAATTCATTTGAGTCTGTGTAGTGCAGATTCTTCCAGATACGTTACGTGATGTGTGCAACAGACCTGCAAATACTCTGTACTTCTTCAAAGCCAGAAAACTCTGCAGTCCATGATTATTTCACAAGTACTGGTAGGACGGTCCACATAATGCAAAGTAAGAGGCAAGAAAGTGTTGGCAAAGGAAGAGTCTGAAGCTCAGAGATGAAATGAGAAAAATCAAGCAGCCTGTTATGCAGTGGTTAGGACAGGATATCTCAAGCAAGTCTGCTCTGCCCTTAAAGAAGAGGCCAAAAGTTCTGAGGCTAAATGTAGCATTGAGAATGTCTGATACTGGCATTTCTACCCTCTTTCATGGGCTAACGGTGGCAGGAGAAGGAATTCTTTGAGGAATGTATTTCTGTGAGATTAATTCAGGCAGTATAGTTAGTTTCCTCATATGACCTGATCCTCAAGGTCACTGTAGTGCTGTTACCTCTGCTTAAAGAGTTAATAAATGAAATGCCTTAGTATTTGTGAAAATATTTCCCAGTTTTTGTCCTGGTAGCATGCTCTAGAACCACTCATCACTTTAATTCAGAAGGAACTTGAATAAGTCACTCTTTCTCTTGAGTGCTGCAAACATGTTATCTTACTTGTTTACAAATTATTGCACATTTCAAAAAATATCACATAAGCTATGATATACTAGCCAAAGAGTAAGTACTTTTCTGAAAACCTACTCATTCTGTAGTGTAAGGAAGAGTTATGAAGATTTTACTGGGCTGGCAGATTTGGGGGAGATGGCATAAAGACGAATGAAAGCTTTGGTAGAAAACTGAGTGCTCATTTGCCCCTGAGCATGGACCCGAGCACGTAGCATGGATAGACCAGGCAAATTGTCCACCTTATGTGCCATACCACTATGTGGTGGTCTGCTGTAGCTTCTATTCCCTTACTAGGCATCCAGTCTCCCTTCTACCATGACTTGATACCACACATGGCACCAGGGTAGCTGCGGACAGGCAGTGTGATTACTGTTAAAGGCATCTCCAGTACAGGCTGAGAGCTCTGCTTTTACTCCCAAACATCTGAGACAGACTAGATTAAGCTTTGTATCTCACTTACTTGACTATAAAATTCAAAGACTAATATGTTTCTTTCTCTTATTTTCTTTTTTTTTTTTTTGGCCTGTTGTGTGTATTTTGATTTAGAGCTCTGCAAGTTAGTTATCTTAGTATTTGAGCTAGTAAAGTGAGAGATCCCATTCTTATCTTAAAATTGTAGAACAATATTGTTTCCGAAGACAGGAGTGTTGGTTAACTTAGGTGCATAAGGCTATTAAGCTCTCAATCTGAAAGAGAGTGAACTTGGTACCTCGGGATTCTGCTGCAAGTTATTTTAGAAATAAAACCACATTTAATTTTCTTGTAATTTTTTAGTATGCTCCAGACACATACAGTGGTCTTTACTAATTTCTGTTGTGGGTTTGTTGTTTTTTTTTTTTTACTTTAAACTTGATCATGTCAAATGTAGTCAGGATGTTCTTTACAGAAAGACAGATATGTAAAGATGTTGAAAAATTCTGTTCTGAAGATACATTAATGTAGGTTTGGTCAGAAAATGTTTCTTTTCTGAAAGTCATCTAGAAAAGCAATGCAAAATGCAGAGGATAAAGGTGGGATTTTTCCACTGTCATGAAAATAAGGAAAAAATAGCCTTTTAAGACTAATGATTTAATTCCAAATGCAAAGACGTCGCTATCAGCATGCATTAACAGAAAACAAAAATAAAAGTTTACTTCTGTTGCAAAATACAGAGGAACAAGAAGAACTTTCATCATACAATGTGGCTTCTGTTGTGGTTCTGAAGATGAGAGAGCTTCATAAAGCTTACCTTTAATGTTTAATCCTTTTACTCATCACATCCTGTATGTAAATAGCTGTTTAGTGTGCAGAACTTTTCATGAGCAGTTTAAACTAAAAAAGAATAAACCCAGTCCTGCATATGGCCTTCACAGTAAAAGTCTGCTGGCAATCCACTGAGTTTCCACAGCTGATGTTTTTCTTGCTGTATAAAACAAGTTGAATTTTCTTGAATGTTCCCCTCATCCTCTGTAGTGATT